CTGAGCACAGCCCAGCTCTGTGGTCCCGAGCATAAAGCCAGAAATCACAGAGGAAGAGCCCCGTCTGGGAGTTAAGGCGGGGCTGTCTTCAGGGGTCCAGGTGTGGCAGGTCCCTTGTCCTGACTTCTGGCTCCTCATCTGTAAGGTGAGATGAGATGAGATGTGTGTGTGTGTGCATGCATGTGTGTGTTTATGTGTTAGTAGCTCAGTCGTGTCCGACTTTTTGCTAACCCAGGGACTGTAGCTCACAAGGCTCCTCTGTCCTTGGAATTCTCCGGGCAAGAATACTCGGGTAGCTTGCTATGCTCTCCTCCAGGGGATCTTCCCGACCCAGGAATTGAACCCAAGCCTCCCTCACTGTGGGCAGATTCTTTTACCTTCTGAGTTACCAAGGAACCCAATTAGATGCAATGGTTCACCCCAGGATGCCCTGATAGTCCTCCTGAGGGCCGGGCTGATTTGGCTCACACTTGCCCCCTGAATACTCACAGGGACTTTACAAAGTGGGTATTTTTGGTTCAGGGCATGACATCTCAACAACTGCAAAAGTGAGGTGACGAAACAATCAAAATCCAAGTCCAGGTCTCACCTACCAGGCCTCTGAGCTTCTGGTTTTGCGGGAGCTTTCTAAATTTTAAATGGGCCTGGCTCCTCAGGTGGGTGGTGGGTGCTTGGCCCCATGAACTATAGCCCACCAGGCTCCTCTGTCCTTTGCATTCTCCTGGCAAAAATACTTGAGCTGGGTACCATTTCCTCCTCCAGGGGATCTTGCCAACCCAGGAATCAAACCTGGGTCTCCTGCATTGGCAGGTGAATTCCTTACCACTGAGCCACAGGGGAGGCAGCTCCTAGGGTGGGTGGGACCCAAATCCTTAGAGGCTGCGATGAGCCCTGCTAAGCTCTGTTTCCCTTGGTCCTCATCAGAAAGGGCAGGGGGCTGCCCCAGAAGTTCCCTCAGTCGTTATGGCCTGCTAAGGCCTGATCCAAAAGGCTACTGCTCCATGTCGGATGGAGGAGGGGGCTGTTTAGGATGTAGCTTGTGGTCGGGGCTCTGTTTGCAGTTGGAGACCCAGAACACCATTTAGTGCCAAACCAGAGAGGGTCTCAGTAGCCAGCCAGTGAGGGCAGCAGTAGGACTGGATTACCTGGAGAGCCCTTTCATGATACCCCAGTGACCTTGAGCTCAGAATGCAAAGGTCCACAGTGAGGTTTAAGCAAGTGGCTTTTGGTAAAAGCTTCCTGAATCATCCTAATATGAATCTCATTTCCAGGGAAAGAGACACTGATTTAGGCCAACCTCCCCAAGCGGTTCGGTGGTAAAGAATCCACCTGCCAAGCAGAAGACATGGGTTCAATCCCTGAGTTGGGAAGATCCCCTGGAGAAAGGAATGGCATCTCACTCTAGTATTCTTGCCTGGAAAATCCCATGGACAGAGGAGCCTGGTGGGCTACAGTCCAATGAGCTGCAGAGAGTTGGACATGACTTAGTGACTAAACAACAACAACTCCACGTTTTATTTATTTTTTTAATAGTGTTTTCCCCTTTAATATAGTGAATAGGTTACTTCTCCAATGGGGGGAAAATTATAAAATTGGTTTGATCAAGCATTATCTTTCAAATTTTCTTACTAACAGTACAATTAATCTACAGCTGTAAATAACTTATTTCAATTCACCATTATATCAAAATTAAAAAGGCAAGACCATAGTCTTGAAAGAAGATAAAAATTAAGTAGAAACAACATAGGAATGGAAAGAAAGGCAAAGCTCACCAAAGATAAGTAGAAATGACTGTTACCAATGTCCAACAAGAGAGCCAGCAGAGTGTGTTAAGAGTGTGGGCTCTGGTACCAGAATGTATAACAATGGCACATTTTCAGTGGGAGAACTAAGGCCCAGACGGGGGAAATGGCCTGCCCCAAATTTCACAGAAAACCAACAGCAGAGTCCAGAAACCCTGTCTCCCGATTTTTCACCCTTTTTCTGCAGAAGAATCACACCTCCTTACCTCTCACTATTCCTGGATTCTTTTTTTTTTTTTTTTTAGATTTTTAAAAATAAATTTATTGTTAATTAGAGGATAACGGCTGTACCATATTGTCTGTTCCTGCTGCACATCACCATGAATCAGCCATAGGTACATACATATGTCCCCTCCATCTTGAACATCCCTCTTAGCTCCCATCTCATCCCACTCCTTTAGGTTGCCACATAGCCCTGGGTTTGAGCCCCCTGGTAAATACAGCAGATTCCCAAGACTATCTATTTTACATATGGTAATGTATATGTTTCAGTGTTACTCTTTCAGTTGGTCCCTCCCTTCTCCTGGGCTCTTTCAAACCCCCTGGTCCTACCACCTTCTTCCATTCATTGGGTCCTGCAGGCACAAGCCCTCAGTGCAAGCCACAAACCTGGCCTCATCCCTGGCCTGAGCCAAAGATGACTTAAGGCCCTTCCTCCACTGACAACAGGCCCAGGTCCCAAGGCTTGAGCCTAGGAAACAGAATCTTGTGAATAAGGCCCAGGTCCTCCCAGCTCCATTTCCAGCCTCTCAAGTCAGGTGCACTTCCTTTCCCCATGCTCCGGACACATCCGCTCCACGTCATCTGTTAGCACTCCATCCAACAATTGTTCAACTTCCCTTAAGGGACACACCATGTTTAATTCTCTAACAAACCTGTGAGCAGATAGCATTATTTGGAGATGAGGTTGAGAGGTTAAGAAAGGAAAAGAAGTCACACAGATGGTGTACAGAGGAACTGGGACTGGGGCCAGGCAGAGCCCACCCTCATAACCACACACAGCATGATATCCAACCCCCACACCCCCCACCCCAACTCTGGTAAATCCCACCTTCATCCTTCCAGGCCCAGCTGAGAGGCCACATTGCACCCCAATGAGTGCCTCCTTCCCCCACCCTGGACACGTGCAGAGCCTGGTCTACGCGTTACAGCAGCCCTGACTGCCCGTACCCACTTGTTGGTTTGCATATCTGTTTCCCTTTCGAGACCCTGGCTGTGTGGTCAGCTCTCCTATCTCACCTGACTGCCTCAGTATCAAGCAGGCCCTCAGAAGATGTTTGCTGAGTGACTGAGTGAGTGAACAGATGAATGAATCAGCACATCAGAAATTGAGATCTGTCAGCAGCATCCCACGTGTGGAATGGTGCCCATCAACACACTCGGGAAGTGGTCTGATGGTGTGTGCTAGAGGGTCCAGGGGAGTATAAACCAGCAAAGGGTTTGGGCCAGAGCTGTTCATCCTAACATTGTCACTTGCCACCTGTAGGACTCCTTTCACCTCCAGGGCATCCGCTACTCATCTGCGGCAGGGGGATGACCAGAGCCACTGTGCATCCGCCCTGGATGGGATGCTGGGGCATGAAATGGGAACCATGACAGAGGCACTCCTGCCCTTCTTCCAGACAAGAGAGGGGGGTGGAGCACCAGGCAGTTCCTAGAGTGCAAGGCGGCTGCTGTGGGCAGCTCGGTGGTGGGGTGCGGTCGGGGGCAGCCTGCAGGGGGTCTGCCAGAGAAAACTGGAAAAAGCATGTCAGGCAGAAGGGGCAGTGAGTTCCCAGCGTATGTGGGGCCAGAGCTCGGGGACCACATCATCCAGGACTATGTAAGCTGAGCCAAGACCTCACCTCTGAGCAGTGGGCTGAGTGGCTGTCACTCAAGAGCTCCATGGCTATGGACACAAGTTGAAAAACTGGTACATGGATGGACCTGGAGGTTGTCATCCCGAGTGACGTCAGTCACATGGAGAAAGAAAAATATCATATGACAGCCCTTATATGAGGAATCTAGAAAGAAATGATACAAATGAATTTATCTACAAAACAGAAACAGACTCATAGGCATAAAGAACAAACTTATGGCTGCCGGTAGGAAAGGATAGGGAGAAGAGATATTAGGTAATTTTGGATGGGATGTACACACAGCTATATTTTAAATGGATAACCATCAAGGATCTACTGCCTAGCACAGGGAACTCTGCTCAATGTTACGTGGCGACTGGGATGGGAGGGGAGGCTGGGGGAGAATGGATACATGTATATGTATGGTTGCTGTCCAATGGGAAAGGTACCTTTGCTGTCCGACTGAAATTATGACAGCATTGTTTAGTGGCTACTCCAATATAGAATAAAAAATTAAAAAAAAACAACAAACCTAGTGACCATCTCTGTTGTGACATTCTTTGGGCATCCCCGGGTCACGGCTGCTACAAGAGACACTTGATGCCTCGTTCGCTTTGTCACTGAGAGCTGGGTAACACAGGCCTCCTTATCAGCACAAACATGCTAAATGTTAGAGAGACGATGGGGGACAAGGGAACCCAGGCAGAGGGTAAGAGATGCTGGAAAGTACAAGAAAGCATTTTCAGTTCAAGGGTTTTAAGTACTGGGGGCTTGTGCTTACGGGAAGTAGCCAGGTGCAGACGTGGGGACACTGCCCCTGGAGGGGACGCTGAGTTCCTGGGCATCCAGCAACCCAGGATTAGAAAGAAGCCAGGATGCAGGTCCCGGATGAGGACGTGATGTCACTGCCTGGGTCCTGTAATGAAGCCCCAGATGGTCCAGGATTGAGGGACAAAGAGGGAGGGGGTGTGGTTTTATTGAGCCTCTACAACGTGTCAGACCCCCGGGGTAAGCACTTCCCTGGACTCCGCAGGTCACAGGAAAAGGGGTCTATTCTCAAGCACTGACCTCAGCTCCCAGTGCGTGCCTCCTGCAGTGAGCTACGAGCCCCAGGGGGCAGGCCTGGTGTCCGTCTCGTGCCTGCTGTGTCCCCAGGACCTGGCATATGTTAGGTATTCCACGGTCATCTTTTTTTTTAACTTTTGACTTTGTATTAGAATATAGCCAATTAACGATGTTGTGATGGTTTCAGGTGGACAGCAAAGGGGCTTGTCCCTACACGTACATGTGTCCATCTCCCCCAAGCTCCCCTCCCATCCAGGCTGCCACATAACATTGAGCAGAATTTCACTTGCTCCACAGTGGGTCCTTGTTGATTATCCATTTTAAATAGATCAATGTGTACAGGACCACCCCAAACTCCATAACTATCCCTTCTCCCCACCCTCACCCCAGGCAATCATAAGTTCATTCTCTAAGCCTCTGCAGTGATTTTGGATGATCCAGAGGAAAATCTCTGTCCTCCTTCCTGCTCTTGTTAGTTTTCTCTTTTCCTTCCTTTCTTCCTCCTGTGTTCCAAGATAAGGTGAGCCATCTCATTGAATCCTTTAGAGAGCTGGAAGTTAGGTTATGGTTGGGGAGTTTATTTTGAAAACAATGGAGAGTTTTACCAGATCCGTTAGGCAGTGGATTTGAAGAAGGAAGGAATTGAGGCTCAGAAGCATTAAGTTACTTACCCAAAGTCACACAGCTAAAAACGAGTGGGGCTGAAATCTGACCCACTTGCTTCTGAGGCCAAACACACTTCCTCTCTAAATGAGAGAACTCAGAAAATTTGGCTCCAGAGATGGACGATGGGAGGCCAGGATTGCCGCGGCTGTGTGATGTCAGGCAAATAACACCTCCCACCATTGGTTTCTACATCCAGGTCTGAAGAATCAGTCTGGAATGTAACTGGAGGGGTGGCAGGCAGGGCCAGGCTCCAGTGCCCCCAGGCCAGCAGGGTTTAGGCAAGAACCTGGGGAGGAGGTGATCTTAAGATGACCTCACACCGGTTGAGCTCTGTCTGACCTCTACCATCCTCAGTAAATTGGTCCCCATTTCACCAAAGATGACTAATAAGAAAACCTTTCTATAGGCACACGTTAGTTTTTAAACTTCTAACTAAGGAAAGGGTCGTTCCCGTGAGAAACTGGTTCAGAGTTGATGGTGCAGACCATTTCTTATCTCTCCATCATCTGTGCAGTTCTGACCCATCTCATTCAAGGCCGTGAATTTTTTATTGAGTTATTACTTGGCCTGTGCTTTGCGTCAGGCCTGGGCAAGAAGAGATGGCGTTGGGGTGGGGGACGTACCGTGTGGGATGCTACATTTCCGTGTGGTAGGAGCCTCCGGCCGGTACCTCTTGACGCTGCGGGAGCTGGGAAGGGGGGAGGCATGACTAAGTCTTTCTGTCTTCTCTTTTTCTGTCCTGGGTTTGCGGTGGCCACAGTGAGGGGGAGGAGGGGAAGTGAACTGCTGGAGGGGCAGTCCCGTCCTTGTCTCAAGTGGGCTGGGCAGCAAACCCAGAAGGAGGGGAGAATGAAAAATTTCCTGGGTGACCACCTGGCTCCTCACTGTGTCCCAAGTGAGTCTAAAGGGTCTGCGGTTACCTTTGGCCAACTGACCACATCCCTTTATCTCCTCCTTCTTTGAGACCCACTAAAGTGACAGTCAAGGAATAAAAAAGGATCAAGGAATAGGAGAGCAACTACAGTGTCTTCCAGATTTCAACTGCTTTAAGTACTTTTTGGGTAGCAGGAAGCAGTTGGTCAATGAAAGAAATTATGGAGCAAGGCAACCATTAGTGGTGGTCCTTCATGAAAGTGTGTTCTCAGAGGTGGCTGCGCGTGGCGGTCAGGTGGCCAGACACCCCAGGGTCCACCATTCCATCTGTGCAGTGAAGTCTCAGTATAACCTTGGCAAAGTCAGTTTCTTCCTTCGGAGACTCATTTCCTCCCATCAGTAACGGGAAGAGGCCCTACTGAATTCTTATCTGCTGGTGCCTGAATTACCTTGAGCTTCCCATTCCCGCCCCCCAACAAGTACAGGCACATTTGTTTTGATGCTGCTTCTGAAATGGAGTGAAGGTATTTTTGCATTTTTTTTTCCCTCTCCCAGGACACTTTTCAAGCCACTGCTGCAGGTGGTCTTTAATGGGAATTTCATCTCTGACATGGCAGGACTCCCACCCAGGTGTTAGGATGAGGAATACATGGGACGGAGGGGTTGTGAGGATGTAACACCTTCATGTGGAAGAGCCAGGCATGGATGGGCTTCAAAGGGGGCTGAAGGGCTCTCTGCTGGGGATGGCAGAATGGGCTGGACAGAGACACTGGTGTTTGCAATGCGTATAAAATTCACAGAGGGAGACAATGAGGAGGGCCCTGTGGGTGGAGCTGACAGTGGCAGCAATTCCTGGAGATAAGAAAGCATGTGACATCCGCAGAGAGCTACAAATACTGTAACTACAGGAATCCATGGAGACATCACCTGAGTTACGAATGGCCAGGTCAGCAGTTTGCACTTCAGCCCACTGACCATGGGGAACTATCAAGTTGGCATCGTGATTTTTTGAATAATTAATTAATTCACTAATTTGACAGTAACGGGTCTTAGCTGCAACACCCAGGATCTTCACTGTGGCCTATGGACTCTCTAGATGTGGTACACAGACTCAGCTGCTCCACATCATGGGGGATCTTAGTTCTCTGATCAAGGATCAAACCCTGATCTTCTTTTTTTTTTTTTTTTCTTTTCTGCAGTACTGTTCCCGCTGCTAAACCCTGATCTTCTTAACCACTGGACCACCAGGAAGTATCAGCCTTGTGACTTTTTAAAAATTTATCTGTTTGAAGTAATTGAAGTATAATTGCTTTACAGTCTTGTGTTGGTTCTACCAAACATCGACATGAATCAGCCATAGGTTTACTTATGTCCCCTCCCTCCCACCTCCTTCCCCAGCCCACCCCTCTAGGTTGTTACAGAGTCCTGGTTTCAGCTTCCTGAGTCAGACAGCAAATTCCCACTGGCTACCTGTTTTACAGATGGCGATGTATGTTTTCACGTTACTCCCTCTGTGCATTCCACGCTCTCCTTCCTCCCCTGACCCCCACCCCGTGTCCACAAGTCTATTCTCTATGTCTGTGTGTCCACTGCTGCTCTGCAAATGGGTTCACTGGTACCATCTTTCTAGATTCCATATATATGTGTCAGTATATAATATCTGCTTTTCTCTTTCTGACTTACTTCACTCTATATAAGAGGCTCTAGGGTCATCCACCTCATTAGGACTGACTCAAATGTGTTCCTTTTTATCAACCTTGTGATTTTAATACACAGATATGGCCCAGCTACCTTTCTTGAGCACCTACAATGTGCTACTTATCCCATGCCTCTGCACTGCACACCCAGTGTTCATGACCTGGCCACTGAGTCACTGGGCAGTCACATGTCTCTCTTGCCATTTCCTCACTGTCCTTCATGCCTAGCTGTCTTTACACAAGCTCCTTCCTCTATGGACAGGCCCCTTTCCACTTCAGAGCCTTCCTGCTGGAGACTTTGCTTGAAGAACATTCCTCTGGGAGGCCTCTCCCCTGTGGGCAGTTCCCAGACCTCCCCTGTGCCCTCCACATGGCACATCCCCTACTGTCCTTGCACCAACTGGCTTTTCCTTATTTATCTGTGAGTGAAAGGGCAATGACTTGCATTTTCTTGGTAGCTGTCTTCCCTGAGGCTAACCAAGGACCGAGAACAGGGCAGACTGTTGAAAAGTGTTGAGATCGGGAAAATAGAATTTGCAGCTATCTGGGCCAGGCCCTTGACATAGCAGATCTTATTTTTTAAATTTACTTATTTTTTAAAAATTACTTATTAGTACTTATTTGGCTTTGTTGGGTCTTAGTTGCAGCATGGGGCATCTTTAATTTTCATTGAGGCATGCAAACTCTTAGTGGTGGTATGCAGGGTCAAATTCCCTGATCAGGGATCAAACCCGTGCCCCTGGAATTGGGAGCACTGAGTGTTAGCCATTGGACCACCAGGAAAGTGCCAGCAGATCTTATTTAATGCTCCCCTCACACCTGTGAGACTTGAGTTACTCTCCCCATTTTGCATGAGAGATGTGACTAAGGTGAGTTTATGCATCTGCTGATTTGCAGATGTGGGATTTAAACCCAGTGTGTCTCCTCCATGCTGTTGCAGAGCTCTTCTGCCCCACCATGCCCCTGGGACAGTGACTCCATTGCTGGATGGAAAGACATGAGGTCAGAGGAGGCACAGACAGGCCACTTCCTCTCATTCAATTTTCTCTGTGCCCTACTCAGCTGGAACAGCTTCTACTCGGCCTCTCAAGATCCTTATCTGCACCTGCGCTTGGGGAACTTTTCCTACACCTCTCACACCCCCCAGGAGAGTTGGAGAAAGGAGTTTTCCACGTGGTCACTGGACATGAGTAACTGTGACTTCCCCTCCTCTGCACCCAGGCTTGGAAAACCCCACCCAGGTCTTCTGATAAAAGCCCTGGGCCCTGCAGGATAGACCAGAGGAGAACTCTTCACTTCACCAGACTTACTGAGACCCTTGCAGGGAGGTCTGAGCCGGACAACCTGAGATGAAGCTCATCATTGCCGCACTGGTGTGCCTGCTGCTGGCCGGGATGTGGTTACAGGATGCAGACGCCAAGAGCAGTGAGTTTGGCTGGAGTCACTTTGCTTCTCTTTGGGGAGGGCGGAGACTCAGGCGGGCACTCTGGGGTTGCGGGGTGGGGGAACAGGATCACCTTGAGCTCCCTGCCTCCATCTCCACTCCTTCGGGAAGAATTCTCCCTGAAGAGGAGGAAGGGAGGCCTTGGATGGGGGCAGGAGGCCAGCAAGAGAAACGGGAATCTGGAGTCCACACTGACGACTGAGCAGCCTGCTTCAGTCAAAGGAGTTCTGCTTCATCTAGACCCTGCAGACTGATGGATGGAAGTGGCGAGGTCATTTAGGCCAAGCTGGAGGCCTGAGGTCCAGAGGAGGGACTGAGAGGGGTCTTGCTTCCACCAGGCAGAATCTGAGGTCAGGACAGATTGGCTACCTTGGGCAAGTCACTTGACCTCCCAAACTCTGGTTTTGCCATCAGTAAATTGAAATTTGATTATGCCTACCCTCTAAAGCTGGTGAGAGAATACTGACCAAACGACAGACATGTGAAACGGGCTTTGCAAGCAGTTAAACTAGGAGGTCTCAAATGCAAGTCTTTTGAGGGTGGGCTGTGGGGTGGGGTTGCAAACCCCCAGAGTGAAACTTGGGGGTCAGAGCTGTGAATAGGGTAGAGGGCCTTCTGGAGTGGTGGGGGAAAGCTTGTTGGTTCCCGGAAGCTCTTTCCTGATCACGTCTTCGAGTTTAAGCTCCTAGCACAGTCTCTAATCCCACCCCAAATAGCGGACTGCAGTTGAATCAGACTCACCAGGGCCCCAGGGCCCTTGAACCCAAATGTGGGGGCAGAACCATGTACTAGCGGTGGGATGTCGCAGCTAGAAGAGCCTTTAGAAATCAGTCTAAAAAGTCTCATTTTACAGCTGGGAGGTCTGGAGTTCAGAGGGAAGTCTCCATCTTGACCAAAGCCACACAGCTGTTTTGTTGGGGCCTGGGACAAAACCCAGTGTCCTGACTCTGAACCCCACTGAACTCACTGAACCCCAGTGTCCTGACTGCCTGAATACGGAATGAGGTGGCTGATGAGACACTGGGGTCCTTTGGATGTGGCCCCAAAGCCTGAGCCTGTCCTGGAAGCGTTTTCCCCCCCTCCATCCTGGATGAGAGGAACTCAGTCTGGGTTGAGAAATGAATGCAACCCATTCCTGTGCTTCTCTTCTAGTGCACGTGTCATCCTCCAATTGCTGTTTCATAACGGTGAAGAGAAAGATTTCTCCGAAGAGAATCCAGTGTTACAAGAACATCAGCTCCACCTGCTCCTACAAAAACCGTCTGATGTAAGTAATGTATCTTCTTCCATCCCTAACTCGCTTCTCCAGAGAACAGAAACTGGTCCACCTGGGATTAGAATAGCACACGCTAGATGGCGATGTTCCACTAGATTAAGGTTATTTTTTGTTTTGTTTTGTTTTTTAACCGAGCCTTCGAGCCTGCCAAAACCTTCGGTGCAGAGCCAAGAGTGGACGCCAGGGGGAGCACCTGCGCTCCCGCAGTGACACGGGTTTCTTAAAGCTCCACGGCGCCAAGTATTATATCTTAATATTTTATGCCCAGAGCTTAAAAGCTCCAGGCACTACTGTGTGATGGTACGAGTGAGGGGAGTCTCAATTAGTTCCTGTCTCTGGATTTGCCAACCTAGAACCTTGGGTGACTCCGGGCAGGTAACTTTTCTGAACCTGATTATCCGAGTAGCTCTCGGCACTCCTGACCTGTGAAGTGGCATCACCACAATAGTTGCATCGCAGGGTCCTTGCAAAGCTCCAAGGAGGCATCTTACCCTTGGCACGCAGTGTCTGTGAGACATGTGTGTTATCTCAGTCAGCTAACTATCCTGGGCCACGCATTTTCATCATCATGAAAACTGAGGTTCAGGGAATTAGAGAAATTTGTCTAAGGTGGTGCAGATAACTAAAGGCAGAACTAATCTATGGTTTTTGGACAACAGCCAAGTTTGGGAGGTGGCAGGATCAGAAAAGAAACACACATACGCACACGCAAAGCAATGACTGGGGGGTCGCAAATGGATACAGACGCATGAAAAGATGGAGCGGGTGAACTCTCAGAGATATTCTAGGAGAGGACTTGTTTCCAGGCTGTCTACAGCCTTTTCTCTTCCCTGATGCACTGAATGCACCAAAGGGTCCAGGAAATGCAATTTTAAGAACTACCAATCCTCCCCCCAAACCGCCAACCCCGCTGAAGCTTGGGTATTCCTCCCAGGGTACAAATCACAGATCTTACATAACACTTCATTTTACAGAACGGCTCAGGGGCATCCAGGAGCAATGTGGGGGTCATGGGGCTTGTTTGTGGCCCCCAGGGGTGACTCCGGTGAATCAGTCCCTCTTCTATTCTCTGCCCACAGACTGAAGCTGACTGGAGGCCTAGAGGCTTGTGTCTTCCAAAAAGAATCATGGGTTCAGGCTTACTTAAAGAAGATAAACCTCTGCCAGTGAAAGGATATGTGAGCTGATCCCTTCTCACCCTGGACTCAAGATACCACGTGGCTTCACTTTCCTCCCAACGTCTAACTTCACACCAGTCCTTCTGCCCCGTCTTCACCAGGTCACGCCAAAGGGTCTGCTGGGCTCTAATAAGCTATGTTGTTGCACTTTATATATTTAAATTCTAGAATCTTTAACTTCTGTCCCCACCCCCCCCCACCCCCCACGCCTCTTGGACTTCACAGGGATTTCAAGGTGCAAAGTTGATTGACATTGAGGGGCTGGGGCCAGGGGGTGGAGAGGAGGGAAACAGGTTGGAATTGGTGCCAGGGGAACTGACTTCTTATATTATTATTTAATTTTTATTGGAATATAGATGCTTTACAATGTTGTGGTAGTTTCTACTCTGTAGCAAGGTGAATTCTTGATACTGTGGAACTGACTTCTTGTCAAAAACCGTCAATAAATGACTCAACACAACTCAGCTGACTGCCTTTGTCCTGGGGGAATAAATATTGATTTGCCTTGTGATGTAGATTCTCTGCGGGGCTGGGTCCCCATCTTCCCATCTGTATGCTCTCCGCCCCTGCCCTGCCCTGCCCAGAGCCTTTGGAGGCTATTTTATCCAAAAGTTACAGCTGCCCTAGCTGCAGGGGGTGGGGGGTGGGGAGTGGGTGGGTGCGGGTGGTTTGCCATCTGCCTGTAAGACATTGCTACCCTGCTGTAGAGAGGAGATGGCTAAGGGCTGGAGAGATCGACACCTACAGGCCTGAGGACACATAGCAAGTCAGGATCAGATCTGGCCTTAGAGCTCAGGGTTCCTGCTGCGGTCAAATCACGTCCTACTGCTTGGCTGCCTACAAAACCAAACTCTCAAGTGTTGACAGAAAGGAAAATTGCCTTTAATCAGAACGCTAGCAATCTGGGGAGATGGTGGACTCAGGGTCCGCCCAAAACCATCTCGGAAGATTCTGCTCAACCATGAAAGCTTCTAACGGGAAACAGGGAAGTCATCTCAGTTAATCATTGGGATGGGATGGCAGTCAGAGTCCTCACCATCCCCCACTGTGTGCAATGCTTGTTGACTGCTCATGATATTTTTTTGGATGCTATCTTTTGACATAGTGTGTTCTTGAGATTCCTGAAGGAATGAGAAGAACTGGGGAAGAGATCTGGTTATCTGTTAATTATTCTTTATTTCTACTTCTCTGATCTATGGAGAAAGCAACAAGTTAGGTAACCTATTGTATGATCAAAAGATTTGAAAGGTGTGCTAAGGCTGGAGATGATAGAGCATGGGATGCCTGGTTTAAGGATAGTGGCAAGACAAAAGTGGCCTCCTGAAGAGAGCTCTTTTCTGCCAAAAGTTGCTTACACTGCCTTCCAGGGTGGAAATCTTTCCCAAGTCCCCATGTGCCAAGGGACTGCTTGGCACAGCGTGGCACAGGGCCCTGTGTCCACTGGACAGGGCCTGGGGAGTTAATTAGCAGGATCTTTTCCCGGGGGAGGGCCAGGCAGGTGGGTCCATGTCTGATGGAGATGTCGACAGAGGTCATTCAGAGGAGGGAGGCAATCTTGAGAAGAAACAGGCAAACCCGCAGGGGACAGAGAGGAAGAGGAGGCCCTGTCCCTTTAAAGGGGGCAATCACATGCTCCAACTTGTGTAACCTGTGACTCTGGGGAGACTAGTGTCAACTACACATTGGCATTTACCAAAAGCACTGCCAACGACTGAACAACAAAGACATTTGCCATTTGCCTCTACAGAGATGGCTTCCCTGGTGGCTCAGAGGTTAAAGCGTCTGCCTGCAATGCAGGAGACTTGAATTCGATCCCTGGGTCGGAAGATCCCCTGGAGAAGGAAATGGCAACCCACTCCAGTATTCTCGCCTGGAGAATCCCATGGACAGAGGAGCCTGGTGGACTACAGTCCACGGGGTCACAAAGAGTCGGACACAACTGAATGACTTGACTTTTTCACTTCTATGGAGATTGAGCCCCATGCTGCTATAGCTGTTGACCTTCGACTGAGGGACTTCAGGGTGGAGGGAGGCACTCTATGCTCCAGGGGATCTGGTGGGACAGGTCTTTAGATATTTGGATGCTTTTAGGAACAGATTTTATGATCTCAATTCTTGTATTTGCTCATATCTAGAGAAGCACTAAATTCCTTCATGGTGACATCAGATCCTCATGACTAACAAAAACCTTTTGTAAAATGAGTGCTTCACAGCAATGAACTCCCCCTTCACCAAAACTTTATATATTGACTTACTCCCACTGCCGCTTTGGAGCAGTCTCTCAGAGCTATCTGAGATGCTGTCCCACAGGATGCAGTCCTCATTTTGGCTCAAATAAAACAACTCACAACTCTCAAGTTATACATCTTTTCTTAGCCATCACTAGCAAAGGAAGGAGTGAATTCTGGGTCTTGGACACGCTGGCTTTAGGAGAGAAAGTCTTGTGTCCTGAGTCTCAGGGCTTCTCACACTTTCTCCAGCAACACTGAGGCTCATCTTAAGCACCTCCTCCCTCTGCCCCCAAGACTGCCCTGCTTCCTGGGCTCCCCCCTCACCCAGAACATTGCAGTAGGCGGCTCTCAGTCACCTTGTTGCAAGAAGGGGAACCTGTTCCAGGGCACGAAAGTGGGCTCTTGTCTAATACTCAGAAATGGGTTGTCCGAGGAGACACATGTGCTGACGAAGCTAGAGACTTTATTGGGAAGGGGCGCCCGGGTGGAGGGCAGGAGGGGAAGGGAACCCAGGAGAACTGCTCTGCTCTGCCACCTGCCACAGTCCTGGGGTTTTATGGTGATGAGATTAGTTTCCGGTTGTCTTTAGCCAATCATTCTGACTCAGAGTCCTTCCTGGTTCAGCCAAGATGGATGCCAGTGAGAAGGATTCTGGGAGGTGGTCGGACGTGTGGTGTCACTTTTTGACCTTTCCTGAACTCTTCCAGTTGGTGGTGGCTTATTAGTTCCGGGTTCCTTACTGCAAATGGTTACTATGGTGCCTGGCTGGGGTGGGTGGTTTCAGTTATTATGCTTTCCCTAACACCCTCTTGCCAACCCTGTCCCACCCTTGGGCCCTGCCCCAGACTACTCTTCCTAGCATCTCCCACCCTCCACTCTCTCCATTGCTCCAAGGCCTTCAGAGCTGAGTCCAAACTCCCATCTTGACATTCCAATTCCCCTGTAAGCACGTCTCAACCTTCCTTTCCAAAGGTCTGCGGCATTTCATTTCTGAATCCCACACGCTGACTCTCTGGGGGTGTTCGCTGCAAGCCCTCTCCCCTCTCTTCCATCTTGCATCTCTTCCACAAGAGTCTTTGTTCTGAAGGTGCTACACCATTCTCCAAGGCCCATTCTCTCCAAGTCCCATGGAGGACTGCTCAGAGCTGGGAGACATGGGCCCAAGGAGACCCATTGGAAGCTGATGCTGGGGACTGGTGCCACTGTTCTGGAATATCCTGGGCTGGTGAGCCAGACCCTCCCTGACATAACAGATGAGCCCAGTTAAGTCACACAGTCAGGGCCTGGCTGCATCTGTATGTAGGGCGCCTCAAAGCGCCCCCTACTGGTTGGGAGTTATCCCTGACGAAAACACTATGCTGTATTGGAGATTTCATTTATTTATTTATTTATCTGGCTGCACTGGGTCTTGGGTGCAGCATGCAGGATCTTTAGTTGCAGCATGTGACGTGCTTAGCTGTGGAATCTAGGATCTGGTTCCCTGAGCAGTGATCGAAACCAGGCCCCCTGTGTTGGGAGTGTGGAGTCTGAGCCACTGGACCACCAGGAAAACCCCTGCACTTGAGATTTTAAACTAAATGTATTTTCTGCAAAAAAAGTCAGCAGTCCTAAAACTGTATGTGTCTTTCCATAATAACTTCCCCTGTTGGCTCAGGCAGTAAGGAATCTGCCTGCTAATGCAGGAGATCCGGATTTGATTTCTGGATCGGGAAGATCTCCTGGAGAAGGGAATGGCTACCCACTCCAGTATTCTTGCCTGGAGAATTTCATGGACAGAGGAGCCTCTGGTCCATGGGGAGGCAAAGAGTTGGACACGACTGAGTGATTAACACTTCCACGCTTTTCCATAATAATATATTTAGCAATACCTCACACTCATCAGGCACTGCCCTCCTTAGATTGCAATGGCCCTTCAAATCCATGACTCACTAGCCATGTTCATTACCCGCTGGGGAGGGAAGCAGGAGGGAGACCCACTGCTCATAGCTTACAGGAGAAGGAGTTGGGGCTCCTGCCAGGAATCAAGTGGCTCAAGACCTTACTTTAAAAAAAGAGAGATCACCAATATTCAAAATAAATCGCCAACCAGCCACAATCCACATAATACTAAATATTATTTAAGACATGGTACATTTTGCGTCAGGAAACCAAAAGCACTCCACTTGAAAATTAAGGTCAAATTAGTCCAGGGTAGGGACAGAAGGCCCCGGGGAAGAACATTCTCGTCCTCTGGTTTGGTCTTAGTGTGACTGGAATAGTTCAAGTCTTCAGGGTGTGATTTTTTAAAAAATATTAATATTTGACTATTTAAATATTTTAAAATATTTAAAATATTTATTTATTTGGCTGTATTATATCTTTGTTTCCCCATGAGGGATATTTCACTGTGGTGCACGGACTCTCTAATTGTATTGTACAGGCTCAGTAGTTGCAGCCTGTGGAGTTAGTTGCTCTATGGCATGTGGGTGTGGATCTTAGTTCCCGGACTAGGGATCAAACCCATGTCCCCTGCATTGCAAAGTAGATTCTTAACCACTGAACCATCATGGAAGTCCTGGGTGTGAGGTTTTGATCCAGGCTTTTCACATAATTCTCCTTTGGGTTTGCACCCATATCCTTGGCCAGTTGGTTCTAAAGCTGTGGATGAGGGTTGGCTGGCAGGGTCAGGTGACATGTTGGAGGGTTTTACCTTAGGGATGACTCCTTAGATGCTAAAACCTGCCAAGCCCACCTGCTATGGGGAGGGGTCCTCCCTGGGACAGGAAGTCAGAGGGAAGTGGTAGGGAGAGACCCTCTGGAGTTTGTCACTGTACATGCCAACTGCCCTCCCTCCAAGAGAAGCTGGCTAGGCATCCACCAAAGTAACCACAGAAGTGTGAGCTGACACCCATTCAAGGAGCAGGATGTGGGATGTTACCAGCCCTCTCTGGGTCTGTCCCTGGTCTAATAATAGGAAGCTTTGGATTACATAGTCGAGTTGGATCTTATCCCCGGAGTGTCATGCTTCAAATTTGTCTGATGTCTGTCTGGTGAGGCAGAATTTAGACTGAGGGGATGGAGAAGTGGATGTGGAGTGGGGGAGGGGTAAGACAAGGTGGGAGTGGAGGGGAGCAGGATTTTTCTACTTACATGACAGCTTCCCGGGGACCCCAGCTGCTGATGATGCAATCGCTCTTCATCCTCTGCAAGGGAACCTTCTTAGGCTTCTTTAACCACGAGGAATCTGCTGTTTCTTATGGTTAAATGGGAAACAGCAGGTGACCAGGATGTGGAGTGTGTCTAGAAATAAAGTCACAGAGAAGAAGCATTGGAGGAGATGCCAGGTTTTTCTCAGCTTGAATGCAGCAGGGGAAGGCAAGCACAGAGGTAGAAGTGGGTCTCATCCACCTCAGGTCCAGTGCTCCTGCCCACTGCCCTGAAGGCGGGGGTAAGGCCAGGAATGTGTGCCTCAAGATTGTTGAGGTTGATTTCACATGGAGGGGACACATCATTGATGACTGAGGAAGGTTGGTGTGACGGGACCCGGATATGGACCCCGACCTACAGGGTTTAGAAAGATTCATTGTATTTACACGCCAAGTCACGTCTGACTCTTTTGCCACCCCGTGGACTATAACCCACCCAGCTTTTCTGTCTATGGGATTTCCCACGCAAGAATACTTGAGTGGGTTGCCATTTCCTTCTCCAGGGGTTCTTCCCAACCCATGGATCCTACCGGCATTTCTACATTCACAGGTGGATTCTTTGCCATCTGAGCCACCAGGGAAGCCCTTGGGAAGATTAGCTGGCCTCAAAGAAAGGGCCTTGGATTTGGATTGGGCAGTGTAGGCTTTATTCTGGCTCTGCCGTGGCCTGGAGGTGGGAGGGGGCAGGTAGGATGCCTGCTGTCCCCAACATGGGCTCTCGCTTCTGTCTCCAGAATTAGAAGTTGAAACCTTGAGGGTCCCTGATGCTCTGATAGGGTCAGAAGTGAAGGGCTTTGTCTCAGGCTTTCCTAGAAGATGAGAAACTGAGAGAGAAGTGAGAGAGGAAGGGAAGGGGGAAGAGAGACTGAGCTTACCTGGCTGAGTCAGCACCTGGGTGCTGAAGGCATCTGCTGTGAGCCGCAGACACAGAGGTGCTGCGGAGACCTTCCCATGGGAAGGGGTGAATGCCAACTTCACCCTGAAAGTCACTGGTTTCTGATTTTTTCTGATTTTGTCTCAGCCCCTCAGTAGCTCTAGTTGTCCTGCCTGCCTGTGTAGGAAGCAGAGAGGATGGGGTAGTAGGGATCCCAGAGGGATGTTTGCCTGGCCGGGGTCATGATCAAGTCAAGATGGAAAGGGGGAGTGGGTCTTGAGTCAGCTAAGCTGGAGACTGAGCTGCCAAATCGTTTTCCAGGAAATGCAAGATGGAAGTTGTGAAAGACTAGCCGGGTAGGCACTGTTTTCCCCTTAGCTGCTCAGACCGCAGAAAGGAAGATGGAACACATATGTGCTGGCAGTCACCCTAGGAAGTGACCCAAGGAGCTGCTGTCTCCAAAATGAAGAGGGAAACCATAGAAAATACTTCCGGTGCTAGGGACTTTCTCCTATTACGTATTTAGTCCCGTCAAGATAAGCACCATTTACAGATGGGGACACTGAGGAGCAGAGAGCTTAAATAACTTGCCCAAAGTGTCTTGGGGAATAAGGGGTGAGGCTGGGAGAAACAGCTATAAGTTTACATATAATCACCAAGAGTTTCATGCCGCTGATGTCTTTTTCCAAGGTAAGTGCTAAGTAGAAGTCTCATGCGCATGCTCAGTTGCTCAGTTGTATCCGACTCTTTGCAACCCCATGGACTATAGCCCGCCAGGATCCTGTGTCCGTGGGATTTTCCAGGCAAGAGTACTAGAGTGGGTTGCCAGCAGGAGGTGTGGGTTCGATCCCTGGGTTGGGCAGATCCCCTGGAGGAGGAAGTCTCATCCTGGAGAAAAATTAAAGCTGGCTCCTGGTGACTGGGCTCCTCCCATCATATAGGCGCTCCCTTCTGCTGCTCAGACCTAGAGGGCTATGGTTCGAAAACCACTGATTTGTCTAGGTCCCTCGTTTTCAGGAAGGTTTGTTGATGGGAGAGGACGGGGAACAGAGCAAAGATGTGGGCTCCTTGCTCATGAACCTAGCTCCCTCCTGCAAGGAGTCTGAGCTAAGAATTTGGGAGGTGGGTGAGTGGGTGGGGAATACCAAAAGGCAGGGTGGCAAGGAGGGAACAGCTTGCACTCTGATGGAAAACCTAGCAAGTCTCTTGGCCTGAATATTTCTATCCCCGTGCTCACTCCTGACTCCCAGATTTTGCTTACCTTTTGTACCTGCTTGGAATAGTCTCCCATCCAACCTCCGCTCTTGAAAGTCTTTCTACTCTCCTGAAACAAGCCCAGTGAGGGTGAAGGAAATGAAACAAAGAGCTAAGATTAGTGAAAGGAAATGAAACAAAGAGCTAAGATTAGCAGACAAAGGTGGTTCTTTGACAAGCCTATGATGAAGCTGAAACTCTCCTGCGGCTGATCAGAACAGGAAAAAACAAAGGCCCCAGTAAGGGCGGTCCCTGCAGAAGTCCACAGATCCCAGGAAGAAAATAAAAGCCTTCTACCAATAACTTTAATTTAGATGAAATGGATGGATTTTTTAAAATCTGACTTACCAGATTGCAAGAAAAAATTTTTTAAATTCTCAAACTATTTAAAAAATTGAGTAATGGAAAATTTTCCACAAAACATCCTCCAGTCTCCAAAAGCTTTAACAACTCTTCCTCCAAGTATTCCAAGAACTACTAATTCTTATCTTACACAATTGCTTCCAGAGAATATTAAATGCATGCGCTCTTCTGCTCATTTTATGAGTCTTTGACATAAAAATTTGTCAGGAATTGCATGAGAAAAGATTGCAAGCTTGTCCCAGCAGACACATTCCATTCTATTATTCCACCCTCTTCTCTGGCCCAGAAAGCCAACCTATGTGGATCACATCAATGAGATTGCAGGTCTCCTGGCTTCGGGCTGGGGTTTGGACACGGGAGCCCTTCAAGGTGTTGGCAAGAGGGAGTCATTAGGGTGAAGAACTGATTTCTCTGCCGCCTTCCTGTACCTTTCCCTGGATGAAGCCCATCATCAGTGGTTTTCACTTTCTCTCCAAGTGACCCTCTCCATGACTCTCTTCATCCATGTTCGGGGGAACTACATTGTCCTTGCACCTTTGGGTCCAGCGGTGGTCACCGTGCTGTTACTAGCCTCAAAGAACCAAGCAGCCTTATGGTTTCTCCGCACCTAGCCAAACACTCAATTGCATTTTTATTATTAAACTCTCCTCAAATCATTCCAACATCAGTGTCATTCACTTCTTCCTGACTGACATAGTTTTGGGTACCAGAAGTGGCTCCTGGCAACAGACCTTCCAAATAGGATTCTGGAACTGGGTCGCTCATATATTTTAGGAGTATAATAATGGCGTTTACTGGCATCATGATTACTTAAATTATCACCAATAGTAGGATGGCAGATTGTGTTGTATCAAGCCCTCCAGGTGATTCTTAATGGGCACTAAAATTTGAGAACCAGGTGATTACAGTATATCCCATGGCCATCCCTGATCTACAGTGAGCAGACTGTAGAGGGTTCTTAAGGACTGCCCTCCTCTCTTGGCCACATCAAGGCATCGCTTAATCCATGTAGTCAAAGTTATGCTTTTTCCAGTAGTCACGTAGGGATGTGAGAGTTGGACCGTAAAGAAGACTGAGTGCCAAAGGACTGATGCTTTCAAACTGTGGTGCTGGAGAAGATTCTTGAGAGTCCTATGGACTGCAGCAAGAACAACCCAGTCAATACTTAAGGAAATCAACCCTGAATATTGATGGGAAGGACTGATGCTGAAGCTGAACCTCCAATACTTTGGCTACTTGATGGGCAGAGCTGACTCGTTGGAAAAGACCCTGATGCTGGGAAAGATTGAGGGCAGGAGGAGAAGAGGGTGGCAGAGGATGAGATGATTAGATAGCATCACTGACTCAATGGACATGACATTGAGCAAACTCTGGGAGATAGTGAAGGACAGGGAAGCCTGGTGTGCTGCAGTCCCTGGGGTTGCAAAGGGTCAGAAAAGACTGAGCAACTGAACAACAGAGGAAGTGTCCTCTGGCCTTCTCATGGAGTACAGTTAGGGATGGCTGGGTAGCTTGCACATAATAGATACTTTTCAATAGCTCCACTTCCCTGAGCTTTTGGACACCTTCCTAACGTCCCAGGGAGTTCTGGCATTTCAGCTTCATCAACTGCAGGCTTCTTTTGAAGTCTAGATTCCAATCAGCCAATCTAGCTAAATAGTCATCACTCATAACTACTTGTGCTAATGCACTGAATTATGAATTTTGGACAAGCACATTCATACCAATGAATTTGACAAACTGAGTCTTACATGTTAATGTCCTCTTACAATTCAGTGCTCCACACGCCTCTCCCCCCCCAAACTCTCCTCCAAATTGAGTGAGTGGGGGGACTTTCATACCCTTCCAGCAGGGACTCCTGTCTGTCCTTCCCTCTGTTTCAGGGCCTATTATCTTATAAGAGAATACGTTTAGGAACCTGGGGTCCGGAGTCAGCCAGACAGGGACTTAAGTCCTGTGTTGAAACTATTCACTTGTTATGTGGTTTGGAGCAAATTGTTTACCTCTCTGAGCCTCTAAGAGGAACTGGTTGCTGGTTATTATGTCACTGTGCTGCTCCGAGAATCTAATAAATAACGAAAGCGTGGCAAGAGCTCAGTCTAGTGCCAATAATTTCTATTTAAAAATTTTTTTAAATTTTCATTAAAGTATAGTTGATTCATAATGTTGTATAGTTTCTGGTACACAGCAAAGTAATTCAGTTATACATATATATAATATGAAAAAGAATATGTAATTATTCTTATATTCTTTCCCATTAGGTTATTTCATGATATGGAATATAGTTCCTTATACTATATAGTAGGAGCTTGTGTTTATTTATTTTATTATTTATGTATTTTTTATAATTTATAGTTATGTATTTATGTATTATTATTTATGTATTTTTTATACATAGTACTACTAATTTCACTACTAATTCACTACTAATTTTTATCTACTAATTTCACAGTCTTATCTCTCCCCAACCTCCTTTCCCTTTTGTAACAATAAGCTTGTTTTCTGTGTCAGTCTGTTTCTATGCTGTAATTAAGTTCATTTGCACCATATTTTAGATCCCACATATGTGATGGCATATGGTATTTGTCTTTCTCTTTCTGAATCATTGCATTTAGTATGATAACTCTCTAGGCACATCCATGTTGCTGCAAAGTATTGTTTTATTCTTGTTTATGGCTGAGTAATATTCTATTATATATATGTATATATGTGTCTGTGTATATATGTGTGTATATATATATATATATGTATGTATATTTACCACATCTGTATCGGTTCATCTGTCAATGGCCGTTTAAGTTGCTTCCATGTCTTGGCTACTGAAAATAGCACTGCTATGAACATTGGGATGCATGTATCTTTTCAAATTGGGGTTTATTCCAGGTACATGACCAGGAGTGGGATTGCTGGATCATATGGCAACAGTATTTTCATTTCTTTAAGGAACCTCCATAGTGTTCACCATAATGGCCGTACAATTTACATATCTCCCAACAATGTAAGGAGGGCTCTCTTTTCTCCATACCCTCTTCAGCATTTGTTATTTGTAGACTTTAAATGATGGCCATTTTGACCAGAGTGAGTTGATACCTCACTGTAGCTTTAATACAGTGCGGTACAGTGATACCTCACTGTAGCTTCGATTTGCATTTCTCTAATGATTAGTGATGGTGAGCCTGTTTTCATGTGCCAGCTTGGTCACCTGGCTGCCCTCTTTGAAGGACACTGACTGGCATTCTCTGCCCCTCAGGCTGGGTATCTACAGAGAAAGGAGAGATTGCAGTGGAAAGGAACATTGACATTGTGACGGAAGAAGGAGCCCATCCACCACCCCTGAACATGATGCAAGTCAGCTTGCCTCGCTTCTTTCTTCACACCACTTCTCTCCTCTTTCTGTCTTTACTTATAATATCCCATCCTCCTACAGTTTTCATCTTTCTTCTTTTTTTAAACGAGCAACACTTTTATTTACTTCTGGCTGTGCTGGGTCTTCGTTGACGCATGAGCTTTCTCTGGTTGTGGTGAGTGGGGGCTGCTCTCGAGTCATAGTGCGCGTCTCATTGCAGCGGCTTCTCCTGTTGCAGAACACGGGCTCTAGGCTTGCGGGCTTCCGTTGTTGCAGTTCCCAGGCTCCAGAGCAACTGGCTCAGTAGTTGTCGGGCTCAGGCTTAGCTGCTTCAAGGCATGTGGGATCTTCTTGGACCAGGGATCGAACCCGTGTCTCTTGAATTAGCAAGTGAGTTCTTTACCACTGAGCCACCAAGGAAGCCCCCATTTGTCTTTCCATCTGACCCATATAGGAATTATTTGAGATCTGGCTTATGCTGTATCTGGCTTCACAGATTTCACAGGGGATCGAATCTGGCTCTGAGATGGATGGCTGATGACTTTCCAGGTCAAACCTTCCTACTTCTACCCTAGAAAACAGATTTCTTGTCACGTTCTTGACCAGCATATCGTCAAAATGAATACTTACCAATGATCCAGGGAGCCTAAAAGGACATAGTGGGAAGATTATCATGTAATTGATCTTCCTAGCCAGACGGGTGAAGCAGGATTGTCATAGGCAAGCTGAGGGGTGCAGTCTCCCTACCCACTGGGCTGTTGGCTTTAACCTGTTGTTGCTTTACTAATTGAGGTGCTTATAGTGTTTAGTTTTTGCTGCCTTTTTTGAGGGAGAAGTCCTAGGATAAATACTTGATGCCATCCCTTCCCACGACTAAATAAAAAGTGCAGGCAGAAAAACTTCATATTTGGCACATTCT